TTTAAGAGACATAGTACAAGAAGACAAGTTTCTGTTTCTTAAGACATTGCCTGATAAATATTCCAGTCCATGCATTTGTGGATATGAATACACTAACAGTAATACATGTAGATTACAACACGGTGTATTCCTTATCACCCTAGCCTGCATCACCTGCAGCCCAACAATACACACATATCAATGCAGAATGTGCCAGACATTGAGAAAATTTGGTGTCAAATGCATTTAAATTATTCTATGAAATTTTGGAACCCTGTGTGATATTTACTAATTAGAAACATGCATGATAACCAAAGTTATCATAAGGAATTTAGGAAGCCTGTGCTCTATTTACCGTTAGCCTGTGTGATAATGAAAGTTATCACACTGGTATATGTACATGTAACATGTACATGTATGTCTAAAGGATGTTTACAACAATTAAGATATAACGAAAGTTATCACACTTCTGGAACACCTGTATTGACCATTTTCACAGCCCAAGTACATGACAAAAATGTAGTTATATTATACTATTATAATATATTGTGTAATCTTTTGAAGATATCCTATTCTTTTTGCCTTACCAGCAACCTGGCCGAGGGGAGCCCACAGCGGCAGACCGTGAGGAGCTCCTGTCACTGTTTGATGTGGTTGCCAAGGGAACCATCCCCATCAAGCTGCTGTACTTCATGCACTACCTGCTGCAGTACAAGGAGTCGGACTCATGCCCCTTCCTCTACAACGACTGCTGGTTCTACATAGAGACACAGAAGTTCAAGGTCTTTATTCTTTGTTTCAGACATCCATGGCCCATATGAAAGAAAACATAGATTAATCTGAAATACGTCATAATGACAACAGTTAGAAAATGACTATGACTAGTATGAGTACATCTACATTTGTTGTACAGACGGACCAAGATATTGCGGAAAAATTATTTTCTTTTGGTGTGTCATTTATAGGACTTTTATCGAAGTATGGTCATTTGTCTCCCAATTCTCTTTATTTAAGTTAAGGAGTTAGGAAGCAGGTAGAAGGTTAAGCAATATTTCTGTGAAATTTGCACTAGTCTTTTTTTTTATAACATAAATCAGGTTTACACAAAACTGAATCGCTCAATTTTATTACTGATCATCATCTGGAATTTGGCAATAAATTTATTGATTGTATGTATTAATTTGACACTTGAATTTTTGCATATTTACATTTCTAAAGCATGTCCCACCACACCATTGCATTCATTTTGATTTGCATTGATATGTAACATTAGAGGACTCTATCAACATTTGTATCTCTAAGTTACTGATATTAATGTAAATGTGCATTTGGATCTCTATTGACTGCTAAAGGTTACTGAAACCCAGTGTTTTCTGTCCCTGTGCAGCATCTGCAGGAGTCTGCTGCAGACAGTCTGGTAAAACAGAAGCTGCAGGTCATCATGCAGTGTTTCATCGAGTCACAGGCAGAGCCTCAACTTCAGGTTAGCCAAGATCAACAATTTGGTAACTGTGTGAAGAAACTCAGCTCGTGCATGTTTCCCTGTTTATGTAATTGATCATGATTTTTTTGCAGTATATCATTACTGTGAACAAATAATTCGCTTTGTTTTACCTGCACCTGCCGCCACCACAAACATACGTTAAGTTCCACAAACATGTCAATTTTTCTCAGACCGCTAACTTTTGCTACCACGAACATCCACAAGTGAATTACTGTATTTGAATGGAGTGTGAATTTTGCATTTGGCATCAGCACTTAGGACTGTCAAAAGTTGATGACGGTGTATGATCGTGACAGTTTTCTTATTTTGGACAAAAGTACCCAAAACTTAAACATTTTTACCTTGTTCAAGTTTTTTGTGGGTTCATCACATACACTGTATTAGGATTTCCTTAAAAGTAACAAGAACGTCCTCAAACAGTATTACTGGATAGACTTGTTATACAGGTGTACAGACTCTGCTCTTGTTTTTCTCATCAGATTGACATCCCTCTGGACCAGGTGTCCAAAATGCAATACAAAGTGTACAACTATGTGCACAACAAGGGGAAGGATGCCCACTCCCCGGACCTGTTTGATGAGTCCCAGAAGACAGTGTTCACAGAACTGTTACCCTACTGGGCCGGCTTTAACAAGCAGTATGAACCTCCCAAGTCAGCTGGCAAGGGAAAACCAGGTGGGTCAATTATTTTGTTTTTCTACAAAGATGTTAACCGTTAATGTCAGCTACAAGCTTTATGACCAAAGTTTACAAACCCTCAAATATCAAATCCTGCACCTTTAAATCATATCTGTTGCTTACAAATTAATGTAGGTATTGAATCTTACATGTATGTCATGTAAAGATACAGTGCACAATAATTCATAATATAGGACTGTATTAGGACATAATATTGAGGGCCTTACAAATTTGGTGTGGTCCATGTTTCTAAAGGAGTCACCAGAGTATCTACAATGTATTTATCGAATATAGAATATTGGTATCTATTTGCTTCCACGTTGTTGGCAAGATATTGGATCTTGAGAGCGGATTAAAGCTAACAAGGCAGGACTCCAGGCTAAACCTTGGCTGAATTTCTACGCATTTTTAAATGCAGTGAGCTTTCTTTCCTATTTTCCCAGTGACCCACATTCACAAGCTGCTACAGCGACGACTGGAAAAGTTCAAGTCTGCCAAGCTGCCGCCTCTGGACATGACGGTGCCTGACAAGGGTGACCGAGAGTCCTTCGGAATCAGCGCTTTCAGTTTCTCCATAAGTGAGGGGTTACAGTGGAAGGTATGACAAGCTTTTTTTATTCAATGCATTGTCACTGATGAGGAGGAGACCACAAAGTAGAAATCTTTGAGTTTAAGAAGCACATTTCTTGTTGTAGAAAAATTCACAATATACAGTGAGGAATGTTTTTAATTTTTTCAGATGTTCTTTAATAACGTTTAAACAATTCTTTAACAATGTTTTAACAATAACTTGTTTGTGACAGATGTTTGCAACAACATATATAGTGTATCATGCATAATATACATGTACGTTGGCTGTGCTAACATGCGAAATTAGTTCATCTTATGCTCTGTGCCATTTTTGTATTCAGTCTGATTGACTTTCTCCTTTTTTCCACTAACATTTGCTATAATAACTGTAACTGCGCCTTGCGACCTTTTATACATACAGCAGGCCTCAAGAAAACAAAACCAGAAGAGCTTAGAACTTTTTCATCTAAAAGAGTTGTTGAGTGGTTCCCACAGTGAATAAGGGCATTTTGCTGCATGCACAAACTTGCCTTTTATCAACTGACATTGTTCTATTTCTTGTCTCTTAACTTTAAATACGGTTTGTTTTGAAGTAATTTTTCCTTCAATATTTACTACACAAAAATGGTCCTTTGAAGCACAAAACCACCCTCATTTTCTGAATTAAAAGTATATGTTTAATCACCAGACACAAATTTGATCCATTTTGTGCTGCCAGTTTACATGCAGCATGGAATGGCTGAATGGTTAGGCTTATGGACACAAGACATACTGAGAGGTCACAAATTTGATCCCTGGAAAGACATTTTGTTCTTGAGTGAGGCACTTCCTCAGTCCGCCCAGGTGTAAAATTGGTACCTGACTTCAGTTTGGAAGGCAAAAGGCAGTGGAAGGAGAGGAATTAATGGGCTCCACCTTCCAATACCAATTGCTGTAGACATATGCTTGTACAGTGTAATAAAGGCTATGGACCTACATGTACATTGGGCCTTTACCCCTTTTTGGGAAGCAGTGTAACACAGATGGATGTATGGTTGATGTGTTTATCTCACCTGTGGTTCCTGCACCAGGGGCGCTACTTATCTGCACTGTCCAGCTTCAGCTTTGGGGAGGAACCATGGTTGCTATAAACATGCCATTATCATACACCTGATGCACAGGTGGCGGCAGGTGCGCTGTACAGGTGCAACATTATGCAATTACCCCCCCCCCCCCATTGTGATCCAGCTGTGATTCTGCAGGAAAAAATAGAACAACAAATCAATGTTGATTATTAGGCCATGTTGATTTGATTATATGGATGACATCCGCGCGCGCATGAATTTTCGGCCGTTTCCAAAAAAAAAAAGTTTTCAACCATACTGTAAATCGTACAAAACAGTTGCAAAATGAGCAAAAATATACCATAAGTTACAAAAAAAATAATAAAAACTATACCAATGTCGTAGAATGCCAAAATCAAACGAAAAAAGACGAAATTGTGAAGAAATGAACTTGAAGACTACATTATTCGCCAAACCATATTTGCACAACCCTCATGACCACGTAGATTTCATAATGAAAAGAACTTTTTTTTTTTGCAAACTTTTTTTTTATTCGCACGCGCGCATCAGTTTTGGGGCTCCCGGAGGATGTCATCCATATAATCAAATCAACATGGCCTTATGTGAAAAAGTGTGATTTCGTTGCTAAGCTTTCTGCTTTCTGTCATCTGAATAGTGTGCATGTTTAGCTAAAGCTTTCTTTTCTGTAGTACTAGTAATTCAGGTAAAATCTTTATCATTGTGTTTTCCTAACATAAATTATAATGGTAGAAGTGTACAGAAATACTTCTTTTGTATTCCTGGTCACAACATCATGAACTGTTAACACTGTATTTAGCCTGGACCCCAGGCTTGTTGATAACTTGAGTCTGCTCCCCCTGTGGGGTAGCAGATCTTGTAGAGCGGACTAAAGCTAACAAGGCTGGACTCCAGGCTATGAACAGACTGTGCTGTTGATTATGCTTTCAAACAATGACCCCTTAGGATGTTTCATGTCACTAAAAAATACACATCTCTGACAACCTACCCTCCTTCCTGTCCTCCTTCCAGTTTGAAGACATAGACCTGTTGTCGGAGAGTGACAGTGATGATGACTCCGTCGGCACAGGAAAGAAAGTCACGTGGATGCTGCCAGATCTTGTTGAATGAACGCAGCCTGGGAGATGTTGAGTTAAAGGGCTTTCCTACAGAAGATACATTTTCTATTAGCCAACTAAAAGATGTGACACTCTACAGGCCAACACATGACCAACTTGAATCAGTTGATTCTTTTCTAGTAAAAATGGTGTTGTACATAATGTGATAGTAGACAGTACACAGGTTGATCTCAAGTTCAATTTTTAACATATCAAGAAAAACTTCAAACTGAATTAATAAAGAATCTTAGATAGAGAAACTTATTGCAAAGAGAAGAAATACATTATTATTATATAATAGTTCTACATGTTACATGTGATACCAACTTGGTGATTAACTTATGCAATGTTGTGACTTTCTTACAAAACTCTATATGCCTTTTAGGTGTCAATGTGTAAAATAAATTAGCTACATGCTGCAAAAATTGTGCCATTTCCTCTCTTTAAAAACCGAAATGTATAAAGACAAAGGAACATATTTTTGTGGAAGTTAGATTGGCGTGTATAATGTTGATATCCTCTGATTTTACCAATTATTGTGCATATCATATTTTTTTCACTGTGTTTGTGTTTTTTTGTTTGAGAGAGATTTCAATCCGATATTTTGTAATCTATGGAGACTTTGCATGACAATATAATGTTATAGTTACTTAGAAGTTTGACAAACTGCTAAACTGCTAATTCCGTCCAATCTCCTATTTGCTTTTGTACTTAAAGTATATAATATAGTGTGCGCTTTGTTGAATTGTTTAAAATCTGAGCTATGCCAGTGATCATGCCAAATTAATTATGAATATTCATGTTTTCTTAATAATCTTTATTTGATAAAATGCTGCAATCTGCTGTGATTGATTAATATTTATACTAGACTTTTTACAGAGTTATTAGCTCATTTGTGGATCTATACTATTTGTGCAACAACAATGCTGAGAGTAGATATTATATTTTGTGCAATGTTTGAACTTGCTATCTTTTACATAATAATATTAATACTGTAGAATCCCAAATTTAAATGTTACCAAATGTTGACCATTGAGATTAGCCCACTGCTGCTAGCTTTGGGACCTACTAGTATTTTGAGAAGAGGTTCTGAAGAATATGAGAATAAAATGTGATACTTGCACTTTTGTGTCTAACTTATTTAGATGCTGCCATATACAGTCTAAGTAAGTCATATACTATTGTTCATCATCATCTCCGTTACTGCCTAGCCCTACCATGTAGGATTATTGGCAGCCGTTACGCATTGTTAGTTACAATTGTGACCCAGTACATAAAAACAAAGGTAAAACAAGGATAAGTGAGAAGGGAACATAAGACAACTGATTTTGTGTGTGCTAAAGACGGGACAAGTGCATTAGTGCGTTAGTAATACATGTATTTACATATATACAAGACATGATGGGGTGGCTCAATGCAGCAGGGTCCTCGCCAGTTCAGATTTGAACTGGGCAAGGGACCCCGCCTCCGCCGCACCAGGCTCAAGTTCATTCCATTCCCCGATGGTGCGGGGGAAGAACGAGAGCCTGTAGAAGTTGGTTCTGCTCGCGATGGCCTGCAATGTTTGAGTGTGATTGATGCGACGGGAGCATCGAGCCACCGGGACAATCCTGGTTGAGTGGGGACGGAGACAGCATTATGTATAATCTTATAAAACATGACCTGGCGGGCGATCTTCCGACGTACTTCTAGAGACTGCCAGCCCAGGTTTTGCAACATAGATGAAACAGAACTTGTACGTCTGTAGTCACTGCAGACAAAACGGGCAGCTCTACGCTGGACCATCTCCACCCTACTCACCTGGTCCTTGGTGTGGGGATCCCAGACACTACAGCCGTACTCTAAGGAGGGTCTTACAAGAGCCATGTAAGCTCTCTCCTTTGCCGCATTGCTTGAGATTCGCAGGCAGCGTCTCAGCATTCCTAAGGTTCTGTTTGCTTTCGCTGTAACTAGATCGACATGTCTGCCCCAGGTCAAATTTGAGGAGATGGAGACACCGAGATATATTTGGTGGTACTTACCTTGGTTAAAACGTGGTCATGGAGGGAATAAGGGAACGTTATTGGGTTCCTAGAAGAGGGGACGGTCATCACTTCACATTTAGATGGGTTGAAGGCCATAAACCACTCCTTCTCCCAACTACAAATACTATTGATGTCATGCTGCAGTCTCTTACAGTCGTCTTCTTCCTTGATACTCATCTGCAAGATGCAATCGTCGGCGAAAAGCCTGACTTTAGCATGTGCAGCGTATTTAGGAAGATCATTGATGTATGTTAGAAAGAGAATCGGACCCAGGACTGTACCCTGAGGTACGCCCGATGTTACAGGCACTGGGTCCGAACGCTCCCCGTCTAGGCTACAGTTTGTGAGCGGCCTTGCAGGAAATTCTGGATCCAGACAAGTGCCTTACCAGTAATGCCGTAAAACTGGAGTTTGTGTATCAGCCCGGTAGATGAGGGACCTTATCAAAGGCTTTAGCAAAATCCATAATGATAAGGTCCGTCTGGGTCCCGTTTTCCCTGTTGTGGGCCAAATCATCAATTTAGAAGTTGAGTTTCACATGACCTGCCATGCCTAAATCCATGTTGGAGATCGTACAAGATATTATTAGTATCAAAGTGGGACATCATAGAACTTGCTATGATGTGTTCCATGATTTTTGAACAGATACATGTTAAGGAAATGGGCCGGTAGTTTGCTGGGTCAAGACGATTGCCTTTCTTGTATATCGGGGCGATGTTAGCCTCCTTCCAGGCTTCTGGTACAGCCCCAGTGTCAAGACTTTTTTTAAAGATCACCTGGAGAAAGGGGATCAATGTAGAACTGAGTTTGTTTGTTTTGTTTTTGTTTATGTCTTCACAACTTCAACTTCTTCTCCTCAACTTCAACTGATTACAAAGGATGACAAAGTCAGGAAACTCTTTGTACGTGTATATTGATACAATCTCTTAGCCGGTTTCTCAAAATTTGCATTACCGGTATGTTTTTTTTATGTATTGGAGCATGAACATCGACTGAATAATCAGGTAATGTTTGACCCACATCTAGAGAGTACTTCCGGTTCACAGAATCGCTCTTCCTGTCCCAGAAACGGCACAGTGTGAGGAGCAATTTTTTCGGAGCGTCTCTCGACTTTTCGTACGGTTCAACAGGTTTAGAGGCTCGTCACAGGCGATTGTGCTTGAGGTGACTTTCCGGTAAGTAAGATACCGTGTATCAGTAATAAAATGTTCACAGATTGGGAAGATTTGATCGAATATATAGACATATAAATTATACAGTGTGGAGTTTTTGTTTCATAACGGACAGACTTGCCCCACACTGAAATACGCTCTTCGTTGCGTGAGTTAACAATAATTGAATAAATTATTGAATAAATTGTATCATACTATGGAGAAGATAATCAAATCACCCTGATACTTACTGACGAGAATTTACTAAAGCAGATTTAGTCGGCGATCGAAGAAGAACCGAAAGCAGGCTCCCGAAAGAGAGGAAAACCACAGGCGGCCCCCCTGTAAAATATGCAGCGTTGGGAGGGGATTAGGGTCGTCATCGAACAAGGGGTTAGAAGGATCTCGTTAGCAGCTTTGATAAAAAAAGATACAAAAGGAACGTCGTTCCATTGACTAATGATTTTAGAAAATGAAGGATGATCGTATTTCTTCAAAGTTGAACTTGTAGCAATGTTGGTTTGACATGTAACCGTTGATATGTAACAAAATTCTGGACTACTGTAAAACCCTCCGTACGCCTCTGTCCAAGACTTTTCCCGCCTTCTCAGACTCAGAGTCCGACATCTGGATTCGTTTATGGAAAGGGGCGGTTCAGTAATACCTGTGTTTGTCAATGGCGATGTAAAGTTGACTAAGCAATAATCATCTTCATTCCCATTATACTTGGAAGCAGTTGACAAACTCTGTGAAATATGCATAAACATATTTCATTGGACAGTGATTCATGTATTATGGTGGTTCATAAATAAGAGAACACTTGCATGCCCAGTGTCAAGCCCCCTGAGAGTCCCACAAAGGCCGTGTTCATGTGAAGTCAGTGAAGGCGCTTAACATGTGGTTTACCCCAAAGCCAGTTTCAAGTGGCTCCATCTGAACGCTCCAAATCACATTGAAAGCGCCTTGCTCCCAAGCCACTTCTATAGGTGGTTTCGAATCGGTTTTCCCGCATCACGATTTACGTCTGAACGCAATGTGATTTCAATGTGACTTTGCCTGGTCATGGATTACGGGGTGATATTTCTTTATTTATATTTTATGCAATACCAAATTTACGTTGCAGCAGAAGTAATGGTCAAATAATGTGTCCGTTCTAGGGTGAGCTTCACCGCCTCTGGCGGGACCACACCGGCATTCGGCCGAGATATGCTGGGAGGGGGGCACCAGCATGCAGGTCGTTGGCCCCTGACATTGATAAAACGCCACCTTGCGTGTTTTCATCAAACAACAATGAATGCAGTTTCATAGAATCGTGATCGGACACGCTTTGATGGGGCTACGTTTTGATTACCTCTTGGGGATCTAGCCATAGGGACTTCTGACTATATCTCCTTATAATTATTATCACATATAATTTGATAGCACACAAAGGTCACAGCAGTGGCTGGCATTTTAGTTGAGCCAACACAAAAGACCACTTCAATGTCAGATTACATTTGAAGTTTATGCCCTTTTTTCATTGCCAAACTTGTGTTGCATATATACTTGATTGTCACATAACTAGTAGACTGATCGTGTGATTGGTTAAGATGGGACAAAAGTTTATTGGACATTTTATTTTCTATTATTCAAGACATGACACAGGTGACTTTTTATTTTATTTTAACAGACATTATTTGTTGATCTGATGTTGTTGCATCCATTGATCCATTGTAACAGTTGTGTTCTCAGCAAGTGGCAGTCAACATGTCAAACTACAATTTTTACTCTCATTTATAGCTGTTAGGAACAACTTTGAGACAAGTTCTTATCTTGCAGTTCTTTCTATACATACAGTGTATCTAGTTGTATGACCCTCATATAGTCATAACATCAACACATGTACATTGTACAGACTACTAATTATATTCATTGCTTAGTAGACCCTTGCTGGACCACATGTACTGATGGTTGTGCATCTTGTCATTTCAGAATTGCTTGGAATACTAGTACAGTAGACATGGCGTCAACAAGCAGCGTGCAGCATTCTGATGATGGCAGGAGGGGATCTGGAGTGGATTCTGCTGAAACCATCATCAACCAGAAAGGAAATGGAGGAGGGAAGGGTGGGAAAGAGTCTCGCAGAGGGGGAAAAGTACACAAATGTGAGGAGTGCGGGAAGACCTTCAGCAAACCGAGTGATCTGAAGACCCACATGCGGAGCCACACAGGGGAGAAACCCTACAGGTGCGAGGAGTGCAGCAAGCAGTTCAGTCAGCTGAGTCATCTGAACTCCCACATGCGGACTCATACAGGAGAGAAACCCTACACATGTGAGGAGTGCAGCAGTCAGTTCAGTCACCTGAGTCAACTGAAGATACATATGCGAACCCACACAGGAGAGAAACCCTACACCTGTGAGGAGTGCAGTAAGCAGTTCTCTAATCTGAGTTCCCTGAAGATCCACATGCGAACCCACACAGGGGAGAAACCCTACACTTGTGAGGAGTGCAGCAAGCAGTTCAGTACTCTGAGTACTCTGAAGACTCACATGCGAACCCACACAGGGGAGAAACCCTACACCTGTGAGGAGTGCAGCAAGCAGTTCAGTACTCTGAGTACTCTGAAGACTCACATGCGAACCCACACAGGGGAGAAACCCTACACCTGTAAGGAGTGCAGTGGGCAGTTCACTATTCTGAGGTCCCTGAAGATCCACATGCGAACCCACACAGGAGAGAAACCCTACACGTGTGAGAAGTGTAGCAGGAAGTTCAGTGTACAGAGTAATTGGAAAACACACATGCAAACCCACACAGGGGAGAAACCCTACAAGTGTGAGGAGTGTAGCAGAAAGTTCAGTGTACAGGGTAATTTGAATAGACATATGCGAACTCACACTGGAGAGAAACCCTTCACGTGTGAGGAGTGTAGCAGGCAGTTTAGTGAGATGCGTAGTCTGAGGAAACACATACAAACTCACATGGGAGAGACCTGAGGAGGGGACAGAAGAAGTACAGCGGACAGTGTAGTGTATTTAAGAAGCAAATGCGGACCCAGAAATTAGGAACTGTACAGGTGTGTAGGAACTGTCAGGTGTAATGAGTTTGGGAGGAAGGTCTGGACATCGGATCATTTTCAGACAACTTCAATAACCTGGGAAGATTTACAATCAGGCACAACAGCTTGTGTCACTAGAGGATGTGTAATTTTTTATGATGATGTCATGTTGTAGTCATTTATGCACTTGATTTGGTGCTTTTGCTATTTTATATAGGTATTACTATTAGAAGTGTGTTTTGTTCACCTTTTTGTTTCTATTCATTTCTTCAAGTTATTTGCAAACTGACTTTTTCTTGATTGAAGTCATGTAATAGTCGTAGAATATTGTTCTTATATGTAGTGCATTAGTTAGTTTAATTTAGAATAACTGTTCAATATGTAGATACACGTACAACGTAGTCGGTTGTAGGTTCTTAGCTCTGGTTTAGATGTGATAAGCTTGTACATATAACTTAACATTTGTAATAGAGTAGTCATAGGGAGGGATTTTGTTCTTGTTATTTGGAGAGCATTTATTGTTGTTATTGTTACTGTTCAAACCAGGCCCATCTAATGGATCTTGCTGAAGTTCATGTAGGTAAAGTATATATATAGAGGTGTTATTTAGTTATATTAACATTTAATTTTTAAAATCTTATGTATTGCAAATAAAGTTTCTTTTTTGATTTGCATGCATTGTTCAATGTCCTTGACACCAGGCTTAAAAATCAATTAACATTGTGACAACTAGTGATCATCATCATTAGGTCGGGAGTGATTCCCGGTCCCAGACTCTCTCCCCCCAGTCCAACTACATATAAGTCCTGTCAAGATGTACTGTAACCATCCTGGACAGCTATGGCTGATGTTTAACTAATTTTTATTATCATAAATAGCTACTTTTTGGAAACTAAGAGAAAACTGCGACCTGAAAGAAGGCAAATGGAAATATCGTAGCAAATTACACACATGTTCGGTAATGTTTCGTTATCACTTAAGATATAAGTTTTACATTACATACATCAGGGGATAGACTTACCATCTTGCCCTGTTTATAGTGCGTCTTGCCCGTTTTTAGTTAGGGTATAACTAAGGTCACAGCAACGAAGTAAATTTTATGGATGACATCCTCTGCAGACTCCAAATCTAATGTGAGTGGGCGAAAAAAAACAAGGTTCCTACATTTTAAAACTTTGAGTCAATCATTGTACAGGTGGTTTTTATTCAGTGGGAACATCACATATACACAGCCAGCATTACATATCACTGCATCAAAGTAAAATACAAAACATTAAATCAGAGCGAAAGCTCTAGGTGAGAGAACTTTTTTTGTGCTGGAACAAAATTTTGAACTTATCGTTGCAATGTTGGTCTTGTCAATAGTTACTTGTGTACCAAACATCATGAACATTCGTCCATCTCTATTAACATGGGACCTTTTGTGTTGGTACGTTGGTTAGTTTGTAAACAGCTTTTTGGGTGGCGAAATAGTAACTGTCTGGCAAATGGATACTGCCTGGCCAATTTGATAGTCTTTGCAGCCACCAAAAAGATTTGCTTGGAGATTACTGTCCAGTATCATGTAACAATGTTCTCAAAACCCCATATACCGTCGTGCTTTTCCTTAAAAACATTCTCGTACAGTGCTCAATGATAATTCCGTCAATAGTAAACTTTCGCACTTTTGACAGGATCCACGCCACCCTGTATCTGCTTGAAGATTACCTTTCCACGCAACCCCGTATCTGCTTGAATATGACATATCATATCATAAGCCACCCTGTACCTGCTTGTATAAATTTAGCCCCAAAATAAGCAGTTGAATCCGTTATTATATAAGAAGAAGCACGAGGAAAAGCGTAAAAAATTAGCGCAAATTTCAGGCCTCCATGTGTGGTGATCGTCCATTGGCCTGTTGTTAATCTAATCAAGACTTGATTATCGAATTCAAATTTTACTGGTAATGAACAGGTGGCAGCTGGCACCTGTGTGTGAAACACGCCGTTCCAACATGGCGAGTGGGCATGGAAGGGAAGAACGAGCGGGTAAAAATTCCGCCCAGGAAGACGCACCACGTCCGTTTTGTTGGTAAGCTGCACTTAACATTGTCTCAGATACTCTCCGGACTATGGTAAATATGCCTCCTTGAAGTAAAATGAAGCAAAAACACAGAATTTCGAAGATATATAAAGTGTCGGCAACTGTACCCGGTGTCAACGCTGCAGTAAGTCGAGCAGCCGCTGGGGGCGTTACTGTTGGGTCCAATGAATTCATGTCTCCAGTAAGGTTGAAACAAAAAGGCCCTTTTTTGTCGTGAATAACATACACGTAGTTAAGTGAGACCAACCAAATGTCAACACGTATTTAGAAAAACAACAAGAGGTGTTCTTTGTAAGTAAACCGCTGTGGGGCGCTTTTAGACCATGCGCACACGTGGCCCCTGACTGACTGAGCTGAGCTTTGCTTGAGACGTGGTTTGTTGTTGTCCTCCGTGTTTAAACTTTTCATCTAGTACTATGCGTTTCAGTGTAAACCACAAGTGTTCCAAAGCCAAGAGCAGGCCGAAGGACACGATAGTGCAGTTATCTAAGGGGTGACATGGATGAATGGTGAGATATAAATTTGGATGGACGGGAGACGGTGGTAAGTTCGATTGGGGAGGGGGGCGGTAACAGAGTTGTTATTTTATTATATAGATAACGTTATATATGCATCAAAAGTCCATATCCAGGTCAATGATTTACGTCATATAGTACCCAGGGAGGTTAATTTGTAGAAAAAACACCAAGAATCCATCATAAATAAAAGAAGCGGTGTTTTGGTCTGGAACAGGTCAGGACTTCTCCATTTCCCATTTAACTTAGTACCCTAGGCCTTTACTGCAGTGCATGCAGTTGTTGAGTGGTGATGTTTGAATTCCAAAGTTTACAGACTCTTGAGCCTGACTGGTAAAATCTGAGATTGGAAATTACATTGAGGATACCTTGAGGATGTATTGGTGGCTGGAGGCATCGCCTGTTGTGCCACCCTCTTGTGAGGGCCTGCATGCCCTTTTTCGTTAACCGTTATGGGCTATTTTAATTTACCGTTAATCGTTGCCGGCCCACTTTAATTCAACGTTAAGCGTTATCAGTATATTCATCGTGAAGCGTTATTGGTCGTTTTAATTCAACGTAAAACGTTATTTGTCATGCTAAATTCAGCGTTAAGCGTTAATGAATAATTGTTCGTTACGCCTAATTTTGCCTTTCAATGTGCAGGAAAATGCGTCATTTAGGGTTAAAAATTTCCCGGGGGAGAATGCCCCCGGACCCCCCTACATTGCTCGCGCCTTTGGCGCTCGACTCGCGCTTCTGCGCTCGGTGCCTTCGGCTCTAGCCAGCACCAGTTTTCCGTCAATTACCTGAAGTTTGCGGAGAGTTACAGATTTTTTTTTACCGAGTCCGTCAACCTTGACAGAAAAAAATTAACAAAAATCTTGAGTAAAAATATGAAAACATCAGAAGGACCGACAAACACCCTCAACACCATGATTTGCCTCTCAAATTGCGGGAAATTGCGTTTTTGAAGGCTTAAAAATCCTAAATTTCCCGGGGGAGCATCCCCCCGACCCCCTTAGATTGCGAGCGCCGCCGGCGCCCCCTCTCAAAATCCATCGGTAAAACTGGGCGAATTCGAGAACGGGAAAAAGTCAAGCTGGGTAGAGGCCTGGCCACGTCGACCCGGACTCCCCTTTATTCGTGGACGCACTCGGGGACCAGGGCAGGTGGGAAACACAGGGAACACATACCTTTAATGCGTGATTCATGTAAGGTGTACGTAATTTTGTCAGTGATCACCTTTTCTCACAAAGCGAGATACCAAATCCAGTGCAGCTCGAAAAAAAAAGCCTGTCAATTTACCGTTAAGCGTTGCCGACCGTCCTGAATTTACCGTTAAGCGTTATCGGCCCTGCTGAATTTACCGTTAACCGTTGCCAGGACCCCCCATGCAGACCCTCTCTTGTCATTCCAGGTACTTCCTCTCCTCCCAACACATGTTCAACCTTGACCTGAAGGCATTAACAGACTCTGCCTCTACAACAATATCTGACAAGGAGTTCCACTTGTTGACTGTCCTAACACTGAAGGAATTTCGCCTAACTGTGGACTTGGCCAATGGCACAGCCAGCTTGTAAGAGGGCCTGCAAGCCCTTTTTCGTAAGGCGTAATCAGGCCTTTTTAGCCTTCGTAATCCGTAGGCGGCCGTCCAAAATCATCGTAATTCGTAATCGGTACATTAGCCGTAACGCGTAATTGGTCGTTTTTATTCTCCGTAAAGCGTAATTAGTTACTTTTATGCGACGTAAATCGTAATCCATGAGATCATAAGAGCGTAGGCTGATTTCAAAATGGTCCAATCCACAACCAAAATTTAGGTCTCAAAATGCTGGAAATAGCATTTCTGAGAGGTTAAAAATTCAAAATTTCCAGGGGGGGGCATGCCCCGGACCCCCTAGCAGGCTCGCGCCTGCGGCGCTCTCTGACGGACGCCTTCGGCGCCCGAAATCTTCGCCCCCCCCCCAATCAAGATTTAAAACCTCGGTGGTTGTGTAGTGATATTGCCCCCGTTCTGGCAAGTGACGTGAGTGAGTTGGGCCATGCACGACTAGGACGCCAGTATCCACAGCATAATTTTATAATATTTATAAATGTTTCTTCCTCTATCGCCATGGCTCAGTGGTTATGAAAAGGTTCATCGTCACCTATCGCACCCGATTTCGGGTGATTTTGGCACCCGCCAGAACTTGTCTTCACTCCAAAAAAACTCCTGAATCTACCGCCTATGCGCTTATCAACACAAAGTCAATAGTTTTGACGTAGAACTACTAGTTGCGGTGTTTAAGACGGTCAGGAATCCTCATGATTTAACGTAATTCGTAATCAGCTCTGAGAATTTAACGTAATTCGTAATCGGCGGCGAAAATTTGGCGTAATTCGTAATCAATACCCCCCCTTGCAGGCCCTCTTGTAACAGTGGCCTCTAGTTACTTGCTGGTTTCCAAGGTGGAAGAAAAGCTCAGGGTCTACTCTCTCCTTCCCTGTGAGAAACTTGTAAACCTGTATCATATCTCCCCTGTCTCTTCTAAACTTGAGTGATGGAAGTGTCAGCTTCTTCAGCCTCTAGATTTAATATTTGTTGTGTGAAACTAAGTCAAATTGATGACAGAGCCAACAGTACTTGAAAAAGGTAATTTGTAAGACTTATTGCTGCTCACATAAAATGATTCAGAGTCTCATGCATGTTGTTCCAGGTAACGTTACACACATAAAGGAGTTTCAAACCAGCCAGGGGAAATGTTTTAGAGGTACTGAAGTTACTGCAGCCAGATAAGAACAACTGGTGGTGTTGTTGTGGTCCTGGGTTTGAATCCCAAACAGGTCTGTATTATTTAACATGTACATGAAGAGGTAAGTTATTGTCGAAATCTGGGAGTTTCATGTGCAATTGTATGCAATTGTTGTTTGGTCAGGACATACTGTATTTACTGTTTGCTGTGCTCTTGTTTTGCCTCACTATTACAAAGTTCCATGGGCTCTTCCTGCAAACAAAGCAGGTTTTAAATGAAAATTG